GTGGGGATAAGCAATGCATTTCAAGCCTCCTTACTGGGAGACATAGGGTGTCCTTTTTGAGAGAGCAGAAATTTTACCTTTGATTGGCCTGCATTCCTGATCATTTCTAGCCTGCAACCCAGGTTCTATTCACATGCTGCTTGGATCTCCATTCCCTTGGTGCAACTCTTAATGGATTCCAGAGCTCAGGAATGAATGATGGACCCTGGCTTGGCATTTCCATCACTGCTTGTTTTTTTGCATTCATTATCCTTGAGAAACCAACCCGCCTCATTACAATGTGACCATCTTGCGCAGGGAGGCGAGAAGCCGGCTGGCTCCTTAAGAGCAAAAGAAGAGGCAGGAGGGAGTCTGTTTCCCATGAGATAACATTATCTTTTTATTAAAAGAGTGAATTTAGTGCTGGTGAAAGGCTGGCAGACCCTAGAGGATGAAGTCCTTTATTTAGTCCCATAACAGATTCAGCCCAGGCAATAGTGATGCTGTTCCTGTCTTTGTACTTTAGCCTGGGGGCTCAGGGAGCTGTTTCATACTAGATTTTTTAATACAGAGATTAATCTCCATGTAAGAAAAAGTGTTTACTTTGTAATGGATAAATGGGAGTGTTTCAGCTCTTTCTTCCTACTTTTTGTATTCCCATTTGGTGTGTATATATATATATATATATATATATATATATATATATATATGGGGAAGTCATCTGTGTGGCATACTCTTATTCCCCACACATGTAAAGGTAAAGATAGTCCCTTGACATGAATGTCTAGTAACTGACTGTAGGGGGCAGTGATAATCTCCATTACTAAGCTGAAGAGCCAGCGTTGTCCAAGGACAGCTCTGGTGGTCATTTGGCCAGCATGACTGCACCAAACGTGGTTACCTTCCCACCGAAGTGGTACCTATTTGTCTACTTGCATAGATATCATACAGCAAGGTCTTGAACTTGCCATCTTTCTTATCTTTGGATTGTCAGAATTGGTGTCTTAAGCACTAAGCCACCACATCCCTCATCCCCACACATGTACCTCAGCCAAAAAGATACATGCTTTGCCGTGCATATGTAGCATGGCACATGTCTTTCCCTTTGGGGCAGTGGGCACTGACAAACTTAGCATGTGAAAAAAATGGTCTTGGATGAAGATGAACAGAAGTCAATCACCATAATGCCACTAACGTTTGGAAGGAGATGGAGAAGGAAAACTATCAAGACAGAAGTAGGAGCTACAGGAATGCAAACTGCTGAAACTCCTGAACTAGGCTAGCCAGGTGAAATACAGTACAGCACTCCTATATCTTTAACAGCTGAGTAGAAGAGAGAATTTCAGCAAATGCTGCAGAACTATTATTATTATGTTTAAAGGTCTATTTAAGGCACAGGAATGCTATCCTGTATTTCACCTGGCTACCCTTTCCTATATACTTGTTTCTAGCCCAGCATCTGAAGCAGGGACACAGGTACTGCAGATAGTCAGTTCCATGTGGAGTTGTGTCAGATATTAACTTAGAACAGTTTTATACAACACATTTTTCATCCAGTGAAGGTTATTTTAAAAACTAAGAAACGTGTAGTGCAAATAACCCCTTCCTTATTTTTAAAAAAGCCTCACCCTTCAGCCAAATCTCTTTTAGCTTTAGAAGCTACATCCTGTTGTGCTGTATGTAAACTTAATGCTTCTTCCTAAAAGTCAGGCAAGAGATATATTCTAGCTAGCAGCTTATTTGAGGGTTCTTAACATAGTTTAGGAGTTAGTGCAGAGAAAGTCTTCTCTGTCCTACAGTCAACCTGTACTTCTTAGAACCTTACTTGATAAGTTTAATGGGTAAGTGAATGGAAGAAGATTAATTGAGCAGCAGCATAGAATAATGTGACTTGTAAATGGAGATAGCTTACATATAGCATTTTAATGTATATTTGCATCTTTTCAGTACATATATTTGTCTAATTTGACATGTCTATCCTGAGATATCTTTAGCCACATTTCAGGGTACTAAAACCCTAGTACTTAGAAGCTAACCCCCCCCCCCAAGTATGCAGAGTACTTGTCAGGGGTAAATTCTGTCTACTATTATGGCAGCCCCACCAGCAATATATAGATACAAAGGAGGATGGAACAAGCTGATATAAATGCTGGGCGATGGGCCACTAGTACAATTTATGAAATCTAAAATGAAAGCTCCACCTCCTTTTACTATATTCTTAAGCTCTGTGTACTATTTATATATCTTAATACATCTGTAGGTTATATCAAGAGAAAAATTAACTGAGAAAGACATATCGTTTTACTGAATCTTATCTCTATGGCCATATTAGCTGCATGCATCTATATCTCTGCCAGTTTATGACAGTTGCCTTTTTTCACAGCAAGTGTGCACAGTTCAGTGCAAATTTAGGTGTGCATTCTCTATTTTCTTCCCTTTCATTTCCAATGGAGAATGGATATTTTGCAACCTTGGGGACCAAGTTTTCTATCAAAATGACTCTGACAGAACAAAACAGTAATAAACCACTTCCCATCCATCTATGTATTTGCTGGCAGATACCAAAGTGAAAATCACTCCTTATTTTCTAAATTAAACAATTGTCAGTTTACTATGTGCTTGGGATATCTAGAGCCACATGTTGTTTTAAATGCATTATGTGATTTGGCTGGTTCTGATCTTTTATCACAGCTCCACAAGGAGACCCCCCTCAGGCAGCAGCTTTTGGGTACAATCAGATGGCAGAAAATGGTCAACTGTGTAGTTTATTGCTATATTATCTTTAACGTCATGAGTCTGGAGGAATTTGGATTTTCTTCCTCAGGCACCGATATGTCTTGAGTTGCGTCGGATAGGTCCTGCATTTCAATGTGAAATGGCTGAAACTTTGAGACAAACAATGGATTAGCAAAAGGGTCATTTGAAGAACAAACTTCCCCTTCACAGTTTCCAGGTTAATGGACCAGGTTTATGAAAATGTTTACTCCTCACCCACCTTTTGCAAAGCTCTTAGCACTGGAGAAAAATGGAAAATATTGAATACCAAGTACTTTGGGATAATGTCTGCATTTCTATAAATTGCTTAAGAAGTATCACTGGAAACAGCTATAATTATTCATGCCATCTACAGTGGAAACAGTTCTTTCAGCAAGAATGATAATTCTTTGAGCAAAAGGAATACATTGTCTCTCCAAACAGTGTGGTTCAGTGGATTGAGCATTGAACTATGACTGGAGACTAGAGTTTGATCCCTGCTTGGCCATGGAAACCCATTGGGTAACCTTAAGCAAGTCACACTCTCATAGCTTCAGAGGAAGACAACGGCAAATCCCCTCTGAACCAATCTTACCAAGAAAGTTCATTGATGGGGTAGCCTTTGAGTCACCATAAGTTGGAAATGACTGGAAGTTGCATAACCACCACCACCACCACCACCCAGTTCAAAACACTGAGTGTGTTTAATATTTCATTAATGCTAGAGCTGTCCAACATAGTTAGAATATTCCATTACAAGAGAAGTTTTGGTATAAATTTGTCTTCATTTAAGCGGGGTATAAATACATTTATTATTATTATTATTATTATTATTATTATTATTATTATTATTATTATTATTATTATTATTAAATTGGTATTAGAGAAGTTAAGCACTTAAAAGCAATGTATGATGTAAATAGGAGAGTATGCTTTAACAGGAAGCCCATATTTATTTGAAATAAATGGTTCAACCATATAGAATCCTGTGAAACTATATAAATCTAGACAGATTGCATTTCTGTTACAGAATACTTATGTAATAATTATGAATTTTTCAGGGATAATGTAGACATCTTTATTTCAGGTTGTACTTATTTTGTGAGAAGATAACATGGGTCCCTTAAAGTGGAATACAAATAAAATAAAATAAAATACATTTGCCCAATATCCAAACCAGATTACTTTACTTCTGGAAAAAGAAATTTTTGTCACAGCATGTCACCTACATTAGCGAGTGTAATAAGAAGAATAGTTTC